GGGGGGGGGGGGGGGGGGGGGGGGGGAAGGGAAACATGCCTGACCGCAAGTGGAATTCCGTTTTTTGGCCCGGCGGCCATGGTTGTTCACCGTGAAACCCCGGCGGCTCTTTGTTCAGTGAATTCAGTTATGGAAGTGGAACAGGTGAGTCAGTGGAGAAAAATCAGTTATGAAAGGTAAGGATGAATTCCGGTATGGCTTTGGCGCCCCTTTCACGGGGATCACACCCAGCACCCAAGTGGGACGGCTGAGCGGTTCACACTCTGACATTGGTTTGCAGTTAACTCAGTTCCCACGTTGAGAAGGAAGGTGAGGGAACAGAAAGGCGCATGGGTCAGCGAGAACAGTATAGTTTAACAAAAGTTTCCCTTTAGTGCAACTAGACCTTGACTCAAAAATGCAGAACGGAAAGGCGATGGAGTCCGGAAAATTGCAGATGTTTCAACATTGTTTTCATATTGCATTAGCACTTTAGAGCTTGATTAAAAATAGATTGGAAAAACGCAGGTACGTTTTCACCCAGGTGGGGGGCGTCTTCATTGGCCGGAGACCCCCCACCTGGCTCCGGCCCCCTGCTTGGAAACATCGGAACCCTTAGGTACAGGGGTGACACACACACACACAGTGCGTCAGAAAGGGCGTTGGGGACCTCATCGAAATGCTTCGGAATGTGTGGGTAATTGACAGTGATGCTTGACAGAGAAGCCCAAAACATGAGGGGTATTCGTGATTTCGAGACACCACACAATCCCACACGCAGTTTGGGAGAGACGATTGTGACGGACCTTTCAATCTCTGACACTTCCCACATCGATCCGCATCAATGCCAGGGCGACTGTGCTGCATCCAGAACTTCCACGCCACAGACCGACGTGCAGAAGAGGTGTCCCGATAGTGGCTGTATGGATGCGGTAAGTCTCATTGGTGAGTTCGTGCACTGATCCTTAATGTGAGGGATTTAGGATGGTTTATGTATCATGTATGTTTGTTGCTCATCCAAGTTTCACAGGGAATGAAAGACTTGTTTTGTATACGTACATGATAACGGATGTCTTAGTCTTAGTTGTTGAGTCTTGTGCCATATAGAGTGTGTTTTACTCTCAATACAGTTGGTAAAGACAGACTTAACAAAGAATCTAAGCAGCGATATTAGTTGGAAACACCATCATCAATTACACATGTTCATATATTGTTTGTGCTCTATCCATTACATGTACCTTGTCACGGAGGCCGGGGAATTGGAGCGCCTGGAGCCACGGGCCTTGTGCGCTTTGAGCGGGGTGCCCCGTGGACTCGACTCTATGCGTGGAGCTTTTTGTTGGCTCACGTCGTTTTGATTTATACGATCCCAGACTGTGGTACTCCAATTTGATTCGTTCCATCCAGCATGGCTCAATGGCAAAACGGTGTCAAATGGATCGAAGCAGAGTCCATGTTAAACTTGTGGCAGACGACCCAACGCATGAACCAGCTTGTGAGGTCGAGAATCTTTAGAGACACGTTTGGAAAGTTTTGTTGCACCCGGGAAGATTAACATGGAACCTGAAAATTGATTTTTTGAAGATTAGCTTCCTCCAGAAACCAGTGATTTTCAGTGTTCATGTTGATCTTCCAGGGCGTAAGTGTTGTTTGATTTTGTCCATCCTATGCCCAGAGTTCAAAGTTTCAGATTACACCGAGTCCCTGTTCAGGAGTCCAATGAGAATCCTGCCTTTCAGACAGATGGCTTAATGCCAATAGGTTCCTACAGGTCCAAGACCTTATTTTACTGGAGTTGGTCATACACAAAGACTATACTCAATGAAGCAAAGAACCAGGCTTTACTTGGTCAGACTGGACTTAAGTCCTTGGTTGTTTACAAACTGCTTGTGGCATGAGAACCGACGTTTTGTACCGAGGCCGTGACCGAGTGGTGATCTCCGGGAGGAGGAGAAATCGATGCGCATGT